TACGTACGTACGTACGTTACGTACTTACGTACTACGTCTACGTACGTCTCGTACGTCGTCTTCTCTCGTCTTCGTCTCTCTCTCTCTCTCTCTCTCTCTCTCTCTCTCTCTCTCTCTCTCTCTCTCTCTCTCTCTCTCTCTCTCTCTCTCTCTCTCTCTCTCTCTCTCTCTCTCTTAATTTAATTTACAAGCTCTTGCAATTTTTTTTTTGTGATTCAACTATTTATTTTTCTCACCACTGGATCCCACAAGTCATCCTGTTCTGGGTTAAATGTCCCTAGAGGAGACTTGAAAGTTTGTGTGACCGGTCTTCCATGGCATACATTGTACTGTACAAGCCCTATTTTGTATCAAAGCTCTCTCTCTCTCTCTCTCTCTCTCTCTCTCTCTCAGATGGATTCTGGGTGTTCTTTTTTCTTGTTCTTTTTCTTCTTGTTTTTATTTTTCTGTTTTCTTCCCCATCGATTTTTCTTTAATGGTGGTTATTGTCAATAAAGATCACCATATACAAAGACAACCAAGGAGAAAAAGGACTTAACAATGAATTTCTTTATTGATTGTTCATAGTTTATAAGATTTTTGTGCAGCCTAAAATGGCTTGGTTATATATGCATGTGATTTAACATGTTTGACCTATTGTTCCTTTTTATGGTTTTATTGACTGGAATTGAGTTTGGACTCTGTTGTTTTATTGATGGATCTAATGATCCTTTTATCTATGTAATTGACTAATGGGTTTGGTCTCTATTTTTTGATTCATGACACAATTGGGATCCTCTGGTTTTTTTGACAATTTAAATGGGATTTATTGGTTTAGCTTCTTTCAATGATGTATTAGATGATAAAGATGATACACAATGGCATATTCATATTCACTTTGAATGGTATTTTCTCCTAATTTAATATTATATTCATACTAGATTCCTTTTTGGATAAATAACATTTATTTTGCAGGCCTCCATGTCTCGTTGCATTATTTTTCTTTTCTCATAATTATATTTTCTTGTGGTTGAGATAATGCAGATTCCTTGACCCAATATATTTGTAGGGACTATCCAAAGGTTATCTGCTTAAGTGAAACTTTTATTCCTTGTGGTTATGCATTTGAATCTGATCACTATGAGTTATAGCTGTCAGGAAGCTTGGCACCTATTTGGATGCATCAAATTGTGGTGACTATAGAATTTGCAATATATTGGGCTAGATTATTGTGTTCACTCTAATCTGAGTATGTATTACTCTCAATCTTGTCATGGTTAGAACATTTGTTTTGGAGCTTAGAATCTTCTTATGAGCTTTTTTAAAATGCAGTATCTTTTGGATTCATTATGTTAGCACTTACCTATTGTTGGTTGTTTCTTATTGCTTCATATGTTCCATTCCTTTTGGAGATGTCAATACAATTGGGGACAAAGGGTCGAGCTCCTATTCTTGGGATCGAGGCAATCAAGCTGCCCATAGACATGTCAATGTAGTTGGGGACTAAGGACTGGGCTCCTATTCTTGGGAGTGAGGCAGTCAAGCTACCCATTGCAATTGGGAACTAAGGGTTGGGCTCCTATGAGAGCGATGCAGTCAAGCTACTCAATTGGGCCCAATGGTTTTGTGAAGTGCTTGATACTAGGTTGAGGGATTATGTTTTGGAGAGGCTTACGGATACATAGACTGTGTATCTCAAGGTTTGTACTTTATATGTAAACATTCATTGAGGTTGAGAACCTAAGATTTATTCACTGAGGTTGAGCTCTTAAGATTTAGGTCGATTGTGTTTCAAGATCTATAAAATGGAAGGTGGTTTGTGCTTTGTCGAGGCATTCAATAATGAGAACTCGCTTGATGTTTACTTCACTCTATAATGAGAATTTGCATTAATTTATTTCCCTTAATATCATTCACAAGCACAACCAAATATCAGCATATGACAACATAGGGAAGGAAGCATTAGTCTTCTTCAAATCGATGTCTTCTTCAAAGAGACACTCATATGGTTTCCAAAAACATATCAGCTTGAATCTAAGGAGTTGCTTCTTGGAAATGACAGCAGTAAATTGTGATGCAAAGGAGTTAAAAATGCAAATTGCAGCCATGACAGCAGGAAATGGAAGCAATTGTGATGCAAAGGAATTGCTTCAACAGGAAATGGAAGCAATTGTGATGCAAAAGAATTGCTTCATAGAAATGGCAGCAACAATTGAGTATATGTGTTCACACAATCATTTTGAAACTTGTGATGCAAAGGAAAAATGAAGTAATTCTCCTGGCTACACAAAAAGGTCTAAAATTTAATATACAATCATTATCAGCTGATCTAAAAACCATTTGCAAAAGATATATGTGGCAGTAAATTCAGTCATTTGTTCTCTTTTAGAACTATAAAATGAAAGGTGTTTTGTGAGTTGTATTATAAGCATCATATAGTCTTTGTGAACTATCAAGGGGACATTATTTTTCTCTAATCGAATAAGATGGCACTTTGTCACCCAGCTTACACAATTGTTTTCTCCTATTTTTATATGGAATGAATGATTTTGGATATGGTTACCCATTTTTGTTCATTTACTATTTAAAACTTAGCTAAGTGCTCATTGCCAATGATTTCGGTCCAATCTAGAATGTCCAATGAAAATATGTAGAGAGTGAGACCATCCACACTCATGACACTTGAGGATGGAGGCTAAGATATGCACATCAAATTTCAGCATGTAATTCTCATTCTCTATGGTTTTTCTATAAACTGGAACCGCAGCAAGAAAAAATTGCTAGTGCCATTTACAAGTGTTAAGCAACCCACAAAGAGAGTTCTATACAAAAACCCGCAAAGGGCTCAAAAAATGCTTTACATCCAATATATAAATACAAAAAATATTATATATAAAATGCTTTACATCCAATAAAGTTTAGATACAAAAAATGGGGGACAATATGCTCAAAAAGGTGCTTAAAAAAATATTCTTTTTTTGTTGTCTTGTGTTGCTCCTCTTTAACGATAACATAACATCGAATGCTGAGTTGGGCTCTCCCAATAAGTAGCTTCATAACAAAAGTGAGACTCATCCACAAGGGTCGGAACAAAATATTGTGGTTGCATCAAACTGCATGTAAAGAGTAAAAAAACATCACCAAGCAATATATAATAGGTTATCACTAAGAGGTTCCAAATGTCATGGCCAAAATAAATCATAGATATATACAAAAGAAATGATCATATGAAATAACATATATTTAAAGCTTACCTAAATGTCATTGGGGAAAGTACCATAATAGTAAAAGCTTACATAAAAGGCACCACTATAATCTTGAATCGTAGCATTCGAGGACCCGTGGTCATGGCATTTATCATTGAAATTTGTAAAGTAAAAGACAAAATAAATTGCTATACAAGTGGTGAGAGTAAGAAAAAAATTAGATAAAGAGAGTATAAGATAATCAATGTTTACAACATAATCAATATTTTACCCCTGCAATATGTGAATCACTACTTTTGAACAATAAACAACTATATGAATTATGTTCCACAAGTAACAAGCTTCCGCAGTAACAATGAACAAATATGTGAATTATGTCCCACAAATAACAAGCTTCCGCGGTTCTTCTCTGATGGTTCTTTAACTATTATGGTCGAAAGGCAGCCCTTTTTTGTTGCCAACAATGGATTTTGTAATATAATATTCCTGGTTTACCAAAATATCCATTAAAATTTTAGGGGCTTAAGTAAGTTTAGTCATGACACTTTATTTAATGAGAAGTTTTAGTTTTCTTTTTTGAGATGCACGGACACCCAAAATTTGAAGTCAATACGATTTTAGAGAAAAATCAAAATTAAAATATGATGCATACTATAAAAAAATTGGATATGAACACAAAAAATATGAAATATTGAGGACAATTTTTAAATTTTGCAAAAATCTAAAGTGTGCTTCAAAAAGATTATGGTTCGAAGATTATGATCCGTCCGTTTTTTAAAGAGCTAGGTGTCCAAGAATCAAAAATCCAATTTTCTTTCTCAAAAGTTAAAAATTCTATGTTGATACTCGGATGTATCCCAAAAAATTGGATAAAAAAGGAAGAGAAATTATGTGTGTATCCCCTATGGTTCACATTATTCAAAATTTACCTTAATTTATCCGTCTTTACATCACACCCGTTTTTGGTCAAATTTTTTAGAATGAACAAATTGCCTATAGTTTGGATCTCCAAGGTCCAAAACTACACAGTTTGGAAATTTAGCTTCGTTTTTTTTTTTTTCTTTACAAGTTCAAGATTTTGGATATTCCAAAAAAATTTCAGCCCAATACGAAAATTAAAACACTATCGGGTTCAAGAAAACTTTCAACATAAAATAGTAAAAAGAATTAAATTTTTGGGAAAAATGATCCTATAAGACCCTCCCACGACCCAAAGATCACTATTAAATTTAACACGAGTCTCCAAAAAATTCAAACCTCGCGCCACCACGCCACCACGTGATATGTATAATTTTTTTTTTAGAGATCCTTACCAAATGGATCAGTACAAAATTTAATAGTGATCCTTCGGAAACTTACACAAATAAGTAGGAAAGAATAATAATTAGGGGAGGGTCCTATAGGATCATTACTCAATTTTTGGGACTACATAAATTTTTATATATTCAAAACCCAGAAATTGCAAGTAAAATAAATCTTTTAGGCTCATAAATTATCTTCAAACCCTAACGCTTTTGTAACCCCAGCACAAGAAGAAGAAGCAACCCCAACCCTGGTGCTCTTTAAAAAATGAGGTAAAACGAAGCACTCACCTGCATCAGTCACTCGATGTGGCCCAGAGACATCGAATTGATGGCGAAGAAGGTGAGAGAGAGCAACCCATGGTGCCAAATTAGTTGATGAGGCCATGGAAGATGCCATTAAAGCGGTGAAAACAAGGGTAAAAGAGAAGCACGTGAAACCTACAACCTAAAAATTCAAAAAATAAAAATCCACAACCCAATCTTTGCAACCCAAAATCAGGAGATTAGATTTTTCATAACTCAAAAAAAAAAATTGATTTCATAAAATAAAATAAAAAATACAAGGAATCAACATACCTGATTTGAGTTTGCTGTTTCTTTGCTCATTGATTTGTTAGATGACGAAATCCTGAGCCATTTTCTTGATCTTCAAAACCCATTCTTGGAAGGAATCAGTCTTGATTTGTGGCTGACTTTGGGGAAGAAGATGAAAAGGAAGTTTCTCGTGGAGGGCTTGATGGGTTATAAGAAGAAGAAGAGTGAGAGTGGAGGGGAAGAGAGCAGGAGGGAGAGTTTTCTTGATCTTCAAAACCCATTCTTGGAAGGAATCAGCTTTGATTTGTGCTGATTGTGGGGAAGAAGATGAAAAAGAAGTTTCTCGTGGAGGGCTTGATAGGTTATTAGAAGAAGAAGAGGAGACAGTGGAGGGGAAGAGAACAGGAGGAAGAGAGAAAAAAAGGGTACATAGATCTTGCGAGGAGAAGAGAATGAGGAGGTAGAGAGAAAAGAGGGAGAGAGAGAAACCAAAAAGTACGGTTAAAGAGTGAAGGAGTACAAGAGAGAAAAATGGATTCAAATTTTCCATCAACATCTGAATTCAAATCCTACGGTGATCGGTAGGGTCCTTGCTCATAGGTGCGAGAGGGTCTATAGGATTATTACTCACAAAAATATATAAATAATAAAAATTTAAAAAATATATTTATATAGCTATTTCTTTGTTGGTTGACGTAAATATGAAGCGATTCGAATTTGACCGAAACAACCCAAAGCGATCCAATCTTGATCGAAATTATGCTTAAACTCCGAAGGCTTCACCGAAGCGAAATGAATTTGATAACATTACCCAAAAGTATCTTGTGCCATAAAATATGAAGCACATAGTAGAGCTGCCTCCAATATTAACACAACATCATATCTTCCCATAAAACCCTTGTATCCCATTTTCTTTGGTGAGTCAATTGGGAGAGACCCTTACCTTTGCGAGGGGGCACCCCTACCTTTGGTAAACCCTTGTATCCCATTTTCTTTGGTGAGTCAATTGGGAGAGACCCTTACCTTTGCGAGGGGGCACCCCTACCTTTGGTAAACCCTTGTATCCCATTTTTTTTGGTGAGTCAATTGGGAGAGACCCTTACCTTTGGGAGGGCACCCCTACCTTTGGTAGGAATTGAGCTTAAGAAGTAATGTTGCAAATCGTCAAGCACTAATCAATTAAGCCCAACCCTTGTATCCCATTGAAAGTAGAAATGAAAGAAAAGTGTTATGCGTAAAAAAAGGAATAATTATACATGCAATTATGCTAATATGCATGGCAAAGTATATAACCGCAATGTGCATTCATGAAACCTATCACATAAATGTGTAATGCAATAACATATTGATATGCAATAAGCAATCATGTAAACGATCGCTCAATTTTTTAATGAGAGAATTTCTAGATTTGCAATGAGGATTATATTTTGAAATATGCGCATGCAAGTTGATATATGTATAATAGTGCTAAGGGGTATATAATAAATAATAGGCATACTAATTGCATTTAATGTTATATATGGGTGATGTCACATCTCATATAAATAATATCACACCCATCCTAATGATAAAAAATACTTTTATTAAAAAAATATTGTATTATAGTATATAAATGTCTAAAATTTATCAAGTACATTTATAAAATACACTATAATGTGAGCACCTTAATATAACCCCTTGGAATTTCACAATTCAAAAGTGGAAGAAGTTAGAAGGCTCAAACTATATCTTAGCCTTTATTTCTCCCTTAAGGGTCGAAGTGCATTTTTTTTCTTTAACTTGCTTCCCTTAAATGTCCGAATTTAACCTTTCCAGTGGAACTAAGCTAGACGACCCTTCAAGGATCAAACTAACATTGATCAAGCCACAAGCGTTGAACCCACTTCTAGTTCGACTACATGTTGTTGAACTAAGCTCCTAGTTCGATCCTTGGTCAACTACCCTGCCAGAAGCTAATTCCACCATTGAAGGATCAAACTAGTTTCTGGTTTTTCTTCTAGTCAAACTAAAAGCTGGTTTGACCGGCGCTAGTTAGCTCGGCCCTTGAAGGGTCGACTTCAAACTATATGTGAAAGTAAAGAAATGTAGTTCTACCGTTAAGGCAATGAACTACTTCTGAAGAAAAAAGGGGACATGAACGCATGTGTAACGAATTCTTTTTATTTAAAAATTCCCTCTTTTTTAATTTTTTTTATCAAATTACCATATTTCGGACATTGAAGATCCGAAGTTTAATTTTCAAAAAAAGTTAACCAAAAAACAAACTTTGCACTTTGAGCGTCTGAAGTTTACCTTGAAAAACAAACTTTGGATCTTCAAGGTCCAAAGTTTACTTTAAAAAACAAACAAAGGACCTTGAAGGTTCGAAATTTATTTTGGGTTGTTTTTTCCTTTTTTTGGGGGCGGTGCAGGGGGTGGGGGGGGGGGGGGGGGGGGGGTGTGTAGTGTAGTGTTAATTTAGGAATTTTAGAGTCTTGAAGTTTTTTTTTGGGAGTTAAACTTCGAATCTTTAAAGTCCAAAGTAGGAGCAATTTAATCAAACAAATGAAAAATAAAAAAATAGGTGTGAACATAAAAAAATATAAATTTGAAAGGGATACTTTAAATAACAAGAATGTGGAGGGATCTGTGCCTAAACTTCTCCCAAAAAAAAAAAAACACGCTAAATTTTGTTTGACACATCAAAGAGAGCAAGCAAAAAAAAAAGGTAAAACAATTGTAATTCTCTTAAAGGGTTGAACTAGGGGCAACTTTGAAAATATAAAAATAAAAACTAGACCTTCGTGTAAAATTGAAAATTTTCCATAGGTTTGGTCCCTATGCGAAAGTGCCACACCAATAGAAGTACCCGACTCACAAAGAGTGGGGCTAAATAACAAACAACAAAAAAAAACCAAGCATGCAGCTAAGGAGAAAAGAACACGCAGCAAAAAAAAAAAAAAACAACAAGGCAACCAAGAACAAAAAAATATGCAATAAGAAAAACAAAAGCCAAACCCCTGGCCTAAGTCCATGGGGTCTCTACTGAACACGACTGACACACGTACGTATTTTATAGCCATGCACAACTATAGTGAGCTTCAACCGCCACAAAAGTTGTTTGGGTCGCTCTTCTTTTTATCTTTCTAGTGATTCTAAAAATGTATCTGAACGATAGATTTATGGGTATTTTTGTTAGTTTTTACTCGATTTTTAGTTGCAAAGCCCCACGACCGGCGCCAGATAATTTTTACATGAAATTTCAGTAGAGAAACACAATTTCTTCCTAGTTTCTCCAGTAAAATCAGTCAATTGGAGGGTAGATTATTCGAATCCATAAAAGTATCGATCTATGGAAAATTGACCAAAATGACATCTTTTCATAGTCCACTGCTGCGCCGGCTAAAAAATCGCTTAAAAACTAAAAGAAATTTTAGAAAAAGCTAAGAAAAATAGGGGAGGTTTTTTAAGAGAATTTCATAATATAATGGATTATGAAATTGAGCAAATAATAATGAAAATTAAAGAAAAATTGTAGACACCCCATTCGAGTCTAGAATTGTTGTTGAGTTCTAACACCCCAATGACACACTAGCTTTGTACTCCATTGGACTACCATGTCATAATCTAATTGTAGGAACTACTACATAAAATCCCTAAAAACTTTATGAAAACCTACCCAATATCCCAAACAAATCATTCTAGACGCCTGAGCCTAATAAATATAGGAAATTAACTCGAACAACAATTTGACACCCAGAAACTTGAAAACTGATATCCTATAGTCCTAAAAACTACTCAAAACTCACTCAAATTGGATCAAATTTGATTCCAAATTGTTGAGGAGATCACAAGCTTTCTAATGGTCTAAGAATCACTCAAATCCAACATTGTTGTTTCAAAGTTATGGCTCGAAGAAATTTGATCACAAAAAATTTCATTTCAATCCACCAAGAATTGTACGTGTCATCGATAATGCGTTGCATGGCCCTTGGGACAATGCAAAATGCATCACGTCCTTTTTTGACTAGCCAACGCTAGTTTTGGAAAAAATTATGCATATATCCGTTATTTTATGCGTTATTACAGATCCACCTTTCAATTTTCGTTATTACTTCCATGTCCTTTTTTTCACTTTCATAACGAGATTTTTTAAAAAAGACGATTTTACCCAATTTTGGGTGTTAAACATCCGAAATAAAAAAAAATTCAATTTTTCAACAACCGAAAACGGGAATAGGTATTTTAACCTTCCCGCTCTAGTTACGGTTGTCAACACCCGAAATTAGTTGGGACTCTTTTTTTAAAAAAAAACAGAACTGTTCTTGGGCTGTTTCGATCGAAGAACATCCGAAAATACCTCATCCCCCTCTTTTCCAATTTTTCTTACATTTTAACTGAAATAACTATTTAAATTTGGACACTAGCATTTTGACAGAGAAATAACGACATTTGACGTATTTTGAATTCATTTGGCGGATTCCAAATTTATAGTGAAGGTATGTATTATTTGAGGTTTTTATAACTTTAATTTTGGGATTTTTATAATTGTGAATAAGATATCTCTTGCATGTTTTATTGTGTATTGCCCACTATTAGAAACATACATGGTTCTAACGGAACCGGCCAGTTAGAATAGAACTGCCCCCCAGGTTCCAATTAGCATCGGTTTTGGGGTGTTAATAGTAGGATTTTAAGGTTTTTAAGGTTAATAGTAGGATTTTAAGGATTTTAAAGGTTTGGGGTGTTAATAATCCGATTAGCCTCGGTTTTGGGGTGTTAATAGTCCGATTAGCCTCGGACCAAATCAAGTCGGTTAGTACACGAACTAGTCGGATTTCTAACTAACTGGCTGATCTTTTGCTAACTGGACCGATTTTTTTGATAAATCCAACGTTATTGACGTTATAACGGCCGTTTAGCAACACGAGACTGTTATTTATAACAAACGCTCGTTATTTGCAGCAGAAATCTGTGAATCATTTTTTTTTTGCTTTTTTGATGCATTTTTCTGCCATATTTTGGCATTATTCAGTGTATTATTGATGTAAATAATCATATTGTGTCTATAAAACAACAATTTTGGAATGAAAGATCCATAAAAACAAAGTTTCAGTCGATTAAAATGGTTTTTTTCATGATTTTTGAAATTTTCTCCATTTCTTTAATTAAATCTTCATTACTGAATCACTTTTTATGAAATTTGGGCCGTCTGATAGATAATTTTACCCTTTAACAAATATGTGTTTCAATTTGTTTGATTTACAGAAGATTGTGGGTCGATTTTAGTCTGTAACGCTACTGCTAAAAAGACCTGAGTTTGATCCAAAATTGAAAATTTTTTATGAGTTTATTGCTCGTTTTTTATTCAAATTGAGTTGTACTTTTTTATTATCAAGGCTTCTTCTTTTAAATAAAATAGGTAAGTTTATTAATGATTAAGTTTTTTTTTATATGAATGTTTTTCGTACTCGATGTGATGAAAATTTTATAGATTAGAAATTTCCTCCATTTTGCA